TTTTATTTGAAAGACATACTCCAGAATATGATATTTTCATTAGAGGGCTCCTAAACTCAAATTAGCGCTGTAATTCTCTTCATAAGCAAAATGTTAGGCATCTTCCGCCGAATCACTATACATAACTTTATTTCCCCCAAACATATTTATGTAGCTAAAATTAGTTTTAACTAATGTTAAAAGTTAAAACTAGTTTTATCTAAAGTCAAAACATGTACAGCAGTAAATTAACTAGACAAAACCGGTTTTGTCTAGTTAAAACTAGAATTTACTGCTGGTCAAAAATGAATTTGAGTTAAAACTAGTTTTAACTAGACAAAACCGGTTTTAACAAAGACATTCAGTATAAACTAGTTTCAACTAGTTAAAACGCGTTCTAACTAAAAACGGGTTTTGACTGTAACATATATATATATATATGATTTTTAGTGTTCAGACAGATGTATCTGGCTTTCATGGAATAAAAAATTTTAAATTATTTTCAAGAACAAAATATGGCTTTAAAATAAAGGTCTCATTATATTTAACTAAAATACTATCTTGTAAATCAAAATCTCAGAGATAAGTGTTTTGACCGTTATTTATGGTCAAAACTTGTCTCATTTCAGCATAACCCATTCACCCTCCCATGTTCATTAAACAACATTAAAGTACTTCAAAATATATTTATCTATCAACCAATAATTCTAAATAAAATGCAAATATTGCTTAGGTTATTCACTAATGAAAATAGGAAAAGCAAATTAAGTCAAGAGAAGGATATAAGTTATAAACATATTTTTATCTAATGGTGAGAAAACAATAGTTAACACAAAAAGTAAGATAAAGAAAAATAAATTTTTTAATAAATTGTAACCATGAATTAAAAAAAATATTTGTTTGGAAAAGCAACTTAGTTGTTTCATCATCTATTTTCAGTGGAAATTTGTAACTTGTTCTGCAAGTGAAGATACAACATAAATGAAACAAAGAAAATGGAGACAAACACATGAACTGGAATGAACTATATAATTGGATAGGAACTTCAATCTCATTGTGCTTGTGATTAGATATTTTGTTTTTTTAAATCTAACAGCACTTGATGTAAAGTATTTTATTCAATAATTAAGAAAGAGAGAATTCAAATACAACAGATTCGTTTTTTTCTTTATAATCATTATTTGTAAATAGGGGTCACACTATTTTTAAGAATTTATGTAAAAAAGCAAAATTTTAATATGAAACACAAAGTATCTATCATAAACTACAGTTATATTTTAATAAAAATATTTTTATACCTTATTTGCAAAATCATCTTCTACAGCTTGATAATTTTTATATATAATATTTCCTCCATTAGCTTCATTCCTTTTGATAACAAAATCTAAATAAAATATAAATTTAAAAACTGAACTATTTAAAATAAAGACAGATAAAATAACAGTAATAACTGTTGAAATGTAAAAACTAAACACAAACTGGTAAATAAAATTAATATATAGTTCTTTTAAATTTATTATCATTTCATAATTATATAATCAAAAGGTACAGTACATTAACCCAAAAGATCATGCATAGAGTTTAAAAAAATACTCATCCTAAATTGAAAACTATCTTTGTTTCTATTGAAAATATTCCTGTTTAATACCTTTTTTATGTATTGCTTTGTCAATCTTAAGATTGAACTTTTGTATTTTGCTCTAGCTATACACCTTTTTACATATCACACTAAAATAGTATATGTTTGTATAAATTAGCCTGTAAAGTGGCAGCATTGAAAATAAAATATATCAACATGTAAAATGAACTGAAATTAAAGAGGTCTAGATTTCAAAAAATTCTCTGTAGTAAGATTTTTTATTCTAAATAAGTAACTGTGAATGCATCATGATTGAGAGAGAATAAACATTGAACTGAAATATGCCATCAAGTTTTGTATGAAATAGGGAGAAAGTGAAATCAACGTATACAACAAAAATTAAAAAAGTGTTGCATTCCTTTAATTATTATTAAAAAATCAAAGAGAATGAATGGGCAATTCAAATGATGATGATCTTCAATGATAAGAAAAAAAAGCACAGGAAGAGTTTGTGTTAGAGATAAATATATAACTAGTGCTACTAAATCTTACAAGAATCTGTATGTGGAATCAAACACAATTTCACTTAAAATTTCAGTTTCTAAAGAATCTCTGATTATTACATCAAACTTATTTTTATTACAGAAAATATGGCATACCATCTAAACCCACCAGTTAAATGTCTAACAATGTTTGGCCTTAAAAAATGCATATAGTAAAAGATAAATTATATTATTGAAATGTTTAAGTGAATATTAAAAAATAATTAATAAATAATAAAATTGTTGAGTACTTTTAATGAACGTATTTTTGTAACTTAAGAAAAACCTTCACATATAATTACTTCTGCTTTATATGTGTATTGTAAAGCTAAAGGAAAAAAAAAAAAAGACTTCAATATCGTTCAGCAACAATGAAGCTTATTGTGTCTACAGCTCAAAATATCAAAACTTTGCTGGCTAAAAATTTAATTACTATTCAAAAATATTCATTGGAAATGATGAAATATGATTCTATGTAATATATTTTCAAAATCCATAACAAGTATTAAATTTTGAGTAAAAATTACTCCTATGTATAACCTTAAAATAATAAGATTTCTATTATGTCAGCTTAAAAAAATTTTATATTCAGAAAATTCAATTCTAGAGACTAAAAAAATTATTTTGAAAATTTTAAGACTAATTTATTTAATTATTATTTTAATATATATATATAAAGTATTCATAAGTAATCAATTTTTTAAACTTTGTAATAGATATGGAGATAAATTACTTCAACTTACTTTTATTTAATGGTGGATAAGCTGCAGCTGCTAATTTTTTAAGTTTTGGATCTTCAAATGCTTTCTGAATTGGTGCCAAAAGCCTATTTAAATAAGCTTCAACACCTGCTTTTAAATCACCAGGATGTAGTACCTAAAAAAAATTAATAGATGTCATGGTTATATGACAATATAAGATTGGATTTAATTTTTTCTTCGACAAAATATTTCAAAATATATTTTAAATGCTTTCAAATTTAGCAGAGACAACTGATGATTAGAACTAGGACACCTAAGTACTAAAAAAATCATATAACTCATAAAAAATATTAGTTACTAGCTGCAAGATCCCGCTTCGTTGGGTTTTTATTTGTATGTAATAGTATAGTTTTATATATATATATATAAAAGACTGTTTTTCTAAGTAATCTAGAATCTAGCTGCAAGACCCGCTTCGCTGGGCAAAAAGTAACGATAGTGACAATTAAGATTACTACATCATAGCTAATCTTACCCGTTTTCACAAAATGCAAGAATTAGGTCTCCCGTTTCCAGACTAATTAGAAATTTTTTACGTTTAGTCAAACGAACAAATTTGAACGTTTCTGGAACGTTTTCAATCGTTCTATAATCGAACCAATTCGAATTTTATGTTCGAATTTAATTCGAAAAATTTCGAAAAAATCGAACAAAACATTCGAAATAGAAAGCCACTTTCAAC